GTTCATTGTGTCCTCAAGCGTCATCAAAATACGCATGATTATAAAATAGTCTCTTTTCTCCTTTACATGATAGTTAGGGCTTCGTTTCACTTTTTCTTGAAATTATGTGAGCAGACAGGTTACAATATTTCAGTATATTTTAGGACAGAAAGGGGGTGCTGTAAGATATTTGTTATAAAAAGGGGCATTGGGTCTAATAGGATGCAGTGCACGGTGAGCCCTCACCAAGAGGCTAGTGGGACCTCATGAGGGGATAGAGAGAGGGCCCCCCGCCCTACCCTTCTTCAAGAATTTCTCCAGGAAGATCCGAGTTTCATTGATGTCTATTTCCCCCTAAGCTTAGGGTCTTGCTTCACAAAGGAAAAGCAGACTATTCCTCCCTATAGAAGTTTACAGCAAGAATACATGGAAATGTGAACATATGGAAACACTGCATGACCCTTCCATTTACACTCTTGTAACCCTGCTCACAGCCTGGACGAAGGGACCGTCCTCTGCAGACTGGGAGACTTCCCCTCCCCACCCCCCCGCCATGTCCCAGACACAGACAATTGGACAAAAAGCAGGCACGTCCCCAACCCAACCTAATCCCCTAGGCTGGCCAGCGACCCACGGGGTGGATTGGTACAAAAGGATTAACTGCATCACTGAGATTCTGTTCCAGGAATTTGGGAACAGAATTGGGAAATACCAAGAATAAGCAGTTTATAATTGGAGGAGGAGCTGGAAAGATGCCTTAGTAAAAGTCAAGTTTAAAGAGCAGGAGTAGGTGGTGGGAAGAGGGGTGGGTAAAGCATAATTTGAGGAAGCAGAAGCTAAGAGTAAATAAAAGTGATTGGAAGTAACACCTTAACATATAAATTGTCCTTGAACGTGTGTGCGTGCGTGTGTATGTGTTAAGTTTATTTATTTATTTTGAGGGAGAGAGAGAGAGAGAGAGTAAGGGGCAGAGAGAGGAGAGAGAGAATCCCAAGCAGGCACCCCACTTGAAAGTGCAGGGCTCAAGTTCATGAACCCTGAGATCACGACCTGAGCCAAAATCAAGAGTTGGAAACTTAACTGATGGAGCCACCCGGGCACCCCATGAACTTGTGTTTTAAACACAAACATCAAAATATTGTGTGGCCTGTCACATTGCCTCTCAAATCTCTGGTATCTCTTTTCCCTTGCACACCAGGCTTTAGCCACATGGTCATTATTTCAGTCTCTGGAACAAGCCATCTGGCGGTACAAAGGCCTATGCACATGCTGTTCTACCTGGAATCTTCTTAGGCAAACCCACCCCCCAATCTTTGCAAGCATGGCTTCTCATCCGACAGATCTCAGGTGAAACGTCACCTCCTCAGAGAAAGTCACCCTGACAGCTCTGGAGGTCCACCCCTCCCCCCCCCATGAGCCCCCTACTCTTTGTTTTCAATCATCGGCCTCTTCATAGCCCTCACCACCATACACGATTATGAATTTTTTTCTCGTTTAATGCCTTTCTCCTACACCGATTGTGGGCTCTATGATGACAAAGTTCATGTTTGTTTCATTTACTACTGTAGAACTAGACGAACCTGGTGCCTGGCAAATAGCAGGTATCGTTAAATATTTATTATATGACTGAACGAACAAATGAATATACGCTTTATGGAAATTACAGTTCAGTAGATCTAACACATGGTTAAAAAAAAAAACAAAACAGCCCTTAGTTTCACAACATAGACACACTTTTCAATGATACGTTTCCAGCATCACGTGCACGATCATTAGTTTTGCTCTGTTTCTTCCTAATTTGAACCCACAGTCCAGGGATCATGTGGTTGAGGCTCAGGCTTCCCCAATCTGGCATGCCTCTTGATTTCCATCACCTTCTCAACTATATTCAGCTCAGGTGCCCACTTCACTTTCCTGGTATCCACACTCTATTTCCATGAATTCAACTAATATTTATTGAATACCTACTGTGTACGAGGCATTATTCTTTTTTTTTTTAATGTTTTATTTATTTGACAAAGAGAGAGAGAGAGAGAGAGCAGGGGAAGGTCAGAGAGAGAAGGAGACACAGAATCTGAAGCAGGCTCCAGGATCCGAGCTAGCCGTCAGCACAGAGCCTGACACGGGGCTCGAACTCACAAACTGTGTGATCATGACCTGAGCTGAAGTCGGACGCTTAACCGACTGAGCCACCCAGGCACTCCAATACGAGGCATTATTCTAACTACTGAGGATTCAGCAGCCCCCAAAACAGATAAACTCCTGACCTGGGGAAAAACCCTTTGTTGAGATGCCTCAGGGGAGAGCATAGCTTCTCATTTAAATTCATAGACCCAAAGATCCTTGCCTGAAGTGGAGTCTGGGTCCCTCTAAGGACTCTGAAACAATGTCACAAGCATGTACAGAAAATCTTTCTTCAGGCCAAGGCACCTGTGGCCATTGACCAGGGTGATTCTAAACATGGGAAAGGCAATACTATTTCTGAGTTGACTCTAGTAACTAGGGACCCAAAATGCCATGCATCAAAATTGGAGGATGTGTGCAAGTCAGATATTCTTCGGACCAAGAATATCTCATGGCTTGTCTGACTTCTTTCATTCGGCATAGTTACTTAGAGATCAATCCATGTTGTAACGTGTATCAGTAGTTCATTGCTTTTTATTGCTGAGTAGTATTCCATTGTATGGATGTACCGCAACTTGTCGATCCATTCACCTGTTGATGGACGTACAGAGTGTTTACAGTTTGGGGCTGTTACAAATGAAGCTGGTGTGAACTATTACATACATGTCTTTGTGTGGACATATGCTTTCTTTTATCCTGGTTAAATACCTAGGTGTGGAATGTTTGAATCATATGGTACATTCAACTTTTTGCAAAACTGTACAGTGTTTTCAGAGTGGTTGCACTATTTTACATTCCTATGATGTAATTTTCACGTATTTTCTTCTCTAGGTCTTCATGATGGGTCTCTCTTTTCCTTTTTTTCTGATCTTAGAATTAAAAAAACATTTTTTATGTTTATTTACTTCTGAGAGAGAGAGAGAGAGAGAGAGAAAGAAAGAGTGGGAGCAGGGAAGGGGCACAGAGAGAGAGGAAGACACAGAATCCAAAGCAGGCTCCAGGCTCTGAGTTGTCAGCACAGAGCCTGACGCGGGGCTCGAACTCACACCAAAAGATCACGACCTGAGCCAAAGTTGGACGCTTAACTGACTGAACCACCCAGGCTCCCCTCTGGTCTTATAAATTTTAAGGTACTTAATGTTCAAAGATTTTATGTCTTTTTTAAAAGCTTGATTCTTATTGTAGACTGAGAAGCCAGAAGAATATTTAAAATATGTATATAAAGATATTATTAAAATAATAAGACAACAAACATCTCTATACCTACCATCCAGATGAAATAATAGACTATCAACATTACCTCTTCCAATTCCAGTATTCTTAGGGTGAACCATTAGCCTCAATTTGTGCTTTATTGATTGTTTTATCATCAATGTCTATGCCCCTAACAAAACATATGCTAATATGTGCACAATTTTAATCAAGTTCTAGAAAACATTTTGTTAAAATTTTTATTGGACAGGGCATCTGGGTGGCTCAGTTGGTTGAGTGACTGACTCTTGATTTTGGCTCGGGTCATGATCCCAGGGTGGTGGGATTGAGTCCCATGTCGGGCTCTGTGCTGAGTGTGGAGCCTGTTTGGGATTCTTTCTCTCTCCCTCTACCCCATTCTCCATTCACTCTTTGTCTCTCTTGAATTAAAAAAAAAGTTTTTAAAAATGTTTATTTATTTATTTTGAGAGAGAGAGAGAGAATCCCATGTAGGCTCTGCACTATCAGCACAGAGCCTGACATAGGGGTAGATCTCATGAACTGTGAGATCATGACCTGAACTGAAATCAAGTCAGACGCTTAACTGACTGAGCCAGCCAGCCACCCCTAAAGGTTTTATTTTTAAGTGGTCTCTATGCCCAACTTGTGGCTCAAACTGACAACCCCAAGATCAAGAGTTGCATGCCCTACTGACTGAGCCAGCCAGCTGCCCTGACTATATTTATTCTTGATGATGGGTCCTAGTTTCTTTCTTCTGTGAATGTCTTTTAATTTTTTTTAACATTTAGTGTTTATTATTTTTGAGACACACACACACACACACACACACACACACAGTGTGAGCAGGGGAGGGGTAGAGAGGGAGAGAGGTTATTTTATACTCCGAGGTCACCCCAACCTAAATTGTTGACCCATGTGGAGAATCCAAAGTAGGCTCCAGATCTGAGCTGTCAGCACAGAGCCCGACACGGGGCTCAAACTCAGGAGCCATAAGATCATGACCTGAGCCAAAGTCAATGCTTAACCAGCTGAGACAACCAGGTGCCCTTGTCTTTTAATTGTGTGCTAGAAAGTGTATTTTAAAGACCTGCAGAGATTAGAGTAAGTATTGTTTTCACTTGGAGAGCATAGCCTTTCTTCTGTTAGCCAGTTGTTACTGGTGGTCACTGGATCTCTGCAAACCAAGATAACTAAGTATTCTCAGTTTTCGTGTTGGCACACTGGTGCAAGGAAAATTTTCTAATTTCAAAGTAATGATTTATCATTAGATGGTAACAAAGTTACAGAGATTAATAATGTGACTAAAGGCAGCTAGTGAGAGCACAAAGAATTACTGAGAACAATCTGAGTTAATCTCTGAAAATGAACATACTCGTGTTTTAAGCCTTCTACCTTAAAAAATTCTAGAAACATAAGGATACATAAGCACACCCCTCATTAGCTGCTGGAACGACGATATCATCACGTCACACAGATTCCAGAAGATTCCACCGTGCACTCGTGAGACAGTGAGACTGACAAAGGCAAACAGATATCACCATATGTCACACAGATTCCAGAAGATTCCACTGTACACTTCTGAGAGAGTGAGACTGACAAAGGCAAACACTGTCTTATTATGATGAAAACATGTTGAATTCCTGGGCCACCTGCAAGTGGACCTTAAGAACAGGCAGACACAGAGATCGGCCACACATATTTATTGAATTTAAGAATCTACTGGGGTCAGACTTCATCTGTGTCTTCATGGCGTCAGGCCTCAAAAAACTTAAAACAACCATAGCTTCTCTCTTGGCTGGTACTTGGGTTTCACACAGCACAGTTTATTATTTGTGCAGTAAACATAGATCTTTTCTTTCCTGAAGCACTTCTGGCGGCATTTGCCATGAAGATTCCAGCATTTTTGAGTGCTGCCTGACACAAAAAAGAAAGAAGAATTAGAGGCAGGGTTAGTCCCGAGAAGAGGTATTAAAGCAGAGGTGATAGAAGGTCCTCAGTTTCCCTTGCCTTTGACCTTGGCCTCCTTTTTCTTTCCTTCCTTTTTAAAAAAGTGTGTTAAAACACCAAGCACATATAAAACTTGCTAGTTCAAGCATTTCGTTTACTTTTATTTTTTGAAAGTTTACTTACTTACATAATCTCTATGGCCAGCATGGGCTTGAACCCACAACCTTGAGATCAAGAGTCGCTGTTTGCTCCTCTGACTGAGCCAGCCAGGAGCATCCTCCTCACATCTCAAGCGTTTTAAAGTGTACAGCTCAGGGGCATTAAGTACATTCTCAATGCTGTGCAAATATGACTACCATCTAGTTCCAGAACTTTCTAATCATCCCAAAGAGAAACACTGCATCCCTCTGCCCAGCCCCGGGCAACCACCAATTTGCCCTCCTCTCTACAGATTTGCCTTCTGTGGATATTTTATGCCAATGGAATGATATACGATGTGGCTTTTTATGTCTGGCTTCTTTCACTCAGCATCATGTTTTCAAGGTTCATCCATACTGGCTGGTTTTTTTTTTTTGTTGTTTTTGTTTTTATTTTTGGCTCACATTCCATCACTGTCTTCATAATTTCATTTTTTGTTTTGTTTTGTTTTTGCCAAGTCCTATCATTAAGAAGGCAGTTGTGCTTCGTTTTTTTCTTTGATGTAGTCGAGTACATGTTACATAAACTATCCTCTTAACCATTTTTAAGTGTACAGCTCAGTGGTGGTAAATACATTCACCCCATGTGCCGCCATCACCCCCATCCACCCCCATAACTCTTTCCACCTTATAAGACTGAAAGTCTTACACTCATTAAACACTAACCCCCATTCTTCCCTCCCCCTTGGTCCCTGGCAACAACCCACCTGTATCATTTTTGGTGCCTTTTCTGTCCCAGAATCTTGACTAACCAATAAACCACAAGGCTTGCAGACACAGCTCTCGAAGAAGTGCTCTGAAAGTTTTGGGGGTAGAATGCCACCAGCAACCTCAACTTAGAGGCATACAAATCTGGAACAGTTTTGCTATTCCAACCACAAGTTTTTGTTTGTTTGTTTATTTTTAAGTTTTTATTTAGTTATTGAGAGAGAGAGAGAGCAAGCAGGGGGTGGGGAGGCAGAGAGAAAGGAAGAGAGAAAATCCTAAGCAGGCTCCACATTTCAGCGCAGAGCCCAACGCAGGGCTCGAACTCACAAGATCATGACCTGAGCAGAAAACAAGAGTCAGATGCTTTACCCACTCAGCCACCCAGGCGCCCTTCCAACCACAAGTTTTGCAGCAGTTAAGATGAAATCTGCTACTTGGGCCAAACAAGGACACGTACCCTCCTCTCCTCTTTGTTCTGTAGAAGCTCTAAGCCTGCTCTGACTCGGGTCAAGTGTTCCCATCAGCTGAACAAAGCCCATAACCTCTACTTGTACCAGTTAAGCCGTTTGCTTCGGGCTGTTTCCTGCCATGACGATCCTCGAGTTCATTAATTCGTAAGTTAACCGTAAGCTTCATTAATTTGTAATCTTGATTATTTCCTTCTTTCTGCCATAGGTTTTGAGCAGGTTGATTTTGTGATCAGGAGTAAACTTTCTCTGAGGTTATCTTATGAGCGACCCAGCAGAGACTGTCAGGGAAATTCTGAGAGTCTCAGCAGAGACGTGGACAACCGCGTGGTCTAGAGCAGCGGTTCGCCCCTGAGGGGATGTTTGGCAGTGACACGCGTGGAGACCTTTTTAGCTGTTGCAACTGGTAAGAGGTGCTACTGGCAATTAGCAGGTGGAGCTCAAGGATGCTGCTAGAACTGCGAGATCATGACCTGAGCTGAAGTCGGACGCTTAGCCAACTGAGCCACCCAGGCGCCCCTTTAATGATCTTTTAAAACTTCTTTTGAACCCTGAGCAAACTGCCACCACAGGGACCAGGTTCTGAAAAACTATAGTGACAGAAATCTGTTGCGTTATGGAGACCCGGGGTGACCACCTGGTATTTCTGGACTGTCTGAAAGGGATCTTGGTGGAAAATTTGACCCATCACAGGAAAGAAAACTTATAAACTATCCTAAGACAATATTGGTGGAGAACTGATTAGTGAGGGTAACTTTAGTATATGTCCCACCTGCCGGCTTAATAACCCTGGAAAAACAGAAAAAGTGGGCCATGAAAAGGACCCACTATTTCCAGGACTCTATACAGCTCCCTAAATCTCAAGCATTTGAATATGAACTCACTATTCTCTGCCTTTTCTGCGAAGGACTAGATGCTTTTCTTTGACAGAAGACAACAGCATCCCCTGCGACTAAAAACACAAACACTTGTCGTTTGGCTTTCCTATTTGAGAAACCCTATTTGCCTATCTAGTGACCGAGGTGCTCTCTTTACTGGGACTTTAACTAAGGAATGACAATGTTGTCAAAAGTCATGCCGTCCTTATCATTTCTCACCCCTCAGAAGAAACAGAAAGAACTCAACATAAATTAAAACGAAAGCTTGCTAAACCAACAGAAGTCCTCATCAGGTCCTGAAGAGCCTAAGAGACTCATAATTTGTTTGAGGGTCTCATGTTTGTTGTTTTATCCCCCCAGTGAATTGTAAAGGGCCACAAGGTATTGCTCAGTTCTTTTCTTGCTGCACAATTGGATGAAGTTGGAACAATTTATTGCCTTTTCTTGTTTTATGTTTATTTATTTTTGAGAAAGAGAGACAGAGAGGGACAGAGTGCAAGCAGGAGAGGGGCAGAGACAGAGAGAGACAGAGCGTGAGTGGGGGAGAAGCAGAGAGAGAGAGAGACATACACAGAATCTGAAGCTGGCTGCTGGCTCTGAGCTGTCAGCACAGAGCCCGACACGGGGCTCAAACCCACGAACCGCAAGATCATGACCTGAGCCGAAGTTGGACGCTTAACCGACTGAGCCACCCAGGCGCCTCTAATTTATTGCCTTTGCACATCAGGAATCAAACTCAAGCTCTTTTTTTTTTTTTTTTTTTTCTGAGAGAGAGAGAGAGAGACAGCGTGAACAGGGGAGGGTCAGAGAGAGAGGGAGACACAGAATCCGAAACAGGCTCCAGGCTCTGAGCTGGCAGCACAGGGCCCGACATGGGGCTTGGACCCATGAAACGTGAGATCATGACCTGAGCCGAAGACGGACGCTTAACCGACGGAGCCACCCAGGCGCCTCCAATTTATTGCCTTTGCACATCAGGAATCAAACTCAAGCTCTTGATCTCAGTGGTCGGGGATGAGTACACTCTTCTGCAAAACACTCATTCCCACGTGGTGATGGAGAGAACTGCATGAAGAAGCCAAAACACTTGGAATCAAGCTAAATGGGCTCATGGCCCCGGGGATAGGTTTCACGCTATGGCAATTTCTAGAGAAACAGTCTGGAGGGCTACTGGAGAAGTTCAATGGCGTGCCTGAGTTTTCCAGGTGCTCCTTCGTGAAGTCATGGGAGCTGCTGATAGTGTCATTAAAAATACTGCCATAGTCATTTGGTGATTCTAGGATTTCCAGGAAACCGTTGTCCACCATCAGCTGGCATTGGACATGAGGAAGCCACATGTGCAATCGTTGGTAATGCTGCCACATGCACATTTTCCAGGAACCTTTCTGGGTGTGTGTGTGCGTGTGTGTGCGTGTGTAAATGCATCCATGTAGGCAACCAAAGAACGCATTTGTAGTGTGGACCTCTGGGACCCCCGAATTTGCTTCTGGTGGCTTTTCCTGGATATTACCAACAAGACTCTGGTGCTGGGCCCACACTTCTGTTAGTGGTGCTTTTTCTGCTGATAGGAACACCACTCATTAAGTGTGCCCTATCCTGTCTAAGCAAGACTGATTTGAATAGGCAGTATTAATACGCATTCGTGAGGTATTTTATATGTATTCAGTCTGTTGATTTTCCCACCTAGCTCTGTCTACCGAAAAGATGTGAAATGAAGGACTTATTTAATAACATGGAATACCTCTAGTTACTGAATCATGGTTCTGAAATACCATTTTCCTACTAAAAAAAAATCCAAGCTTCTCGAAAGAATTCAAGATCTGGGGCAGTAGTTGTACAAGACGGGCCTGGAATATCTTGTCACACCAGATAAGTTACAAACCGGTGACCCCCGCTTTCTGTCACCTAACAGAAGGACAAAGTCTCACATCACATCTGTCTGAAACTTTGTATTTGAAATCGTATCGGCAAGACTGGAACATTCCATACTTTTCAGAGGAGCCAGTGTTTCAACACAGAAAAGTAGCCTTGATTTCAGAGCCAAGGGCAGAGCGTCAGAGAAGTAGTTTCAGGATATGAAATTCCACATCTCTCTTAATTTTGTATTTTCCTTGGAAGTGGGACCCTGAATCCATTTCTCAGCCTCGGCCTGATGGTAACTGCTTTGCACAAGAAGTCCATCAAACACTCCTTCACAGAGAAAGACAAATTCCATAGGATTTCACTCATATGTGGAATTTAAGAAAGAAAACAGAACATAGGGGAAGGAAAAAAAGAGAGGGAGGCAAACCATAAGAGACTTTTTTTTTCCTTCATAGTTTATTGTAAGTTGGTTTCCATATAACACCCGGTGCTCATCCCCACACGTGCCCTACTCCATGCCCATCACCCCCCTTCCCCCACCCCATCTGCCCATCTCAGCATTCAAGAGTCTCTCATGGTTTGCCTCCCTCCCTCTCCCCACTATTTTTCCCCTTCTTCTCCCCCATCGTCCTCCATTAAGTTCCTCCTAATCCTCCTATACGTGCAAACATATGGTATCTGCCCTTCTCTGCCTGACTTCTTTCGCTCAGCATAACACCCTCGAGTTCCATCCACGTTGCTAAAAATGGCATGATTTCATTCTTTCTCATTGCCTTGTAGTATTCCATTGTATAGATTAACCACATCTTCTTGATCCATTCGTCCGTTGATGGACACTTAGGCTCTTTCCATGTTTTTGCTATTGTTGAGAGTGCTGCTATGAACATTGGGGTACATGTGCTCCTATGCATCAGCATTTCTGTATCCCTTGGGTAAATTCCTAGCAGTGCTATTGCTGGGTCATAGGGGAGTTCTATTGTTAGTTTCCTGAGGAACCTCCACACTGTTTTCCAGAGGGGCTGCACTCGTTTACATTCCCACCAACAGTGTAGTAGGGTGCCCGTTTCTCCACATCCTCTCCAGCATCTTTAGTCTTCTGATTTGTTCATTTTAGCCACTCTGACTGGCGTGAGGTGGTATCTCAGTGTGGTTTTGATTTGTATTTCCCTGATGAGGAGGGACGCAGAGCATCGTTTCATGTGTCTGTTGGCCACCTGGATGTCCTCTTTAGAGAAGTGTCTGTTCGTGTCTTCTGCCCATTTCTTCACTGGATTATTTGTTTTTCGGGTGTGGAGTTTGGTGAGTTCCTTATAGATTTTGGATACTAGCCCTTTATCCGATATGTCTTTTGCAACTATCTTTTCCCATTCCATCGGCTGCCTATTAGTTTTATTGATTGTTTCCTTTGCCGTGCAGAAGTTTCTTATCAAGAGACTCTTAACTATAGGGAACAAACTGAGGGTTGCTGGAGAGGAGGTGGGTGGGTGATGGACTAGGTGGGCATTAAGGAGGGCACTTGTTGGGATGAGCACTGAGTGTTATATGTAAGTGACAAATCACTAAATTCTACTCCTGAAACCAATATTGCCCTATATGTTAACTAACTGGAGTTTAAATAAGAACTTGAAACAAAACAAAACAAAAAAACACAACTCCATTTACATTTTACCTAAACTCTATCTTTCTCCTTAATCTTTAGAAACCCTAAACCACTAGAAACCCTTTTTTTGCCCTGAGGTTCCTTCGGTGTGTATTTTCCTTTTCTGTGCCAAGTTAATATGCCTAATTTTATCAGACTGCGAGTGTGTTTCTTGTGGTGTCTCTAATATTGGCCCTTATCACAAGGAAATTATCAAAGACTAGTAGGGATATACGTATCCCTAATATATGTTATTATATTGATGTTGAGCATCAGCTCAAAGGTATGAGCATCAGCTACAATTTGAGCACTAACTATAAATGTCATTGAAAGAGAGACAACCAAGATGTCATGTGCCTCCTGATGAAAGAACCTTATTAGCATCAAAGGTGTGCCAAAAACGATAGAACTTGAACCTGATCAAACCTCTGGATCCATGTGCCAACGTTCAGGAAATACAGAGGTCACAGGAATACACTGAACTTCACCTTGAGTATGCAGTCAGGAAAATTTGTGCCGTGGGAAACCATGGGTCAAAGGACCCGACAGATAAGTTATAAAGACAAGAAAGGGAGGAAGATATAATTGGCAAATTAGAATTTTTTTAATGCTTTATTTATTTCTGAGAGAGAGAAGGAGAGAGAGGCAGCATGAGCAGGGGAGGGTCAGAGAGGGAGACACAGAATCTGAAGCAGCCTCCAGGCTCTGAGCTAGTTGTCAGCACAGAGCCCGACTCAGGGCTCGAACCACGAATAGTGAGATTGAGACCTGAGCTGAAGTCGGACACTTAACCGACTGAGCCACCCAGGCACTTCAGTAAATTAGAAAATTAAGAGGATCTCAAGAATACATTGAATTTTCAAAGTGGGTGTGTCAAAATTAGAGTATGCAGGGATGCATCCTTAGTAAGGGAACTATACAGAAATGCAAAGAATTGATTGCTTTAACTAGTTTTTATTTATTTATGTTTTTGAGAGTGTGCATGTGTGGGGGCGGTGGGGGGGCAGGGCAGAGAGAGAGGGAGGGAGAGAGAGAATCCCAAGTAAGTTCCATGCTGTCAGCACAGAGCCAGACGTAGGACTCCAGCTCACAAACTTGAGATCATGACCTGAGTCACAATCAAGAGTTGGTCGTTTAACCCACTGAGCCACCCAGGCGCCTCTGGTTGTTAGAACTCTTGGTGACAGTGAGGGGAAGATGGCCCCAGACACTCTGTTTTGGCCTCTCTGGAGGCTACTTAGCAAAAACTCATAACATCTTAAAATTGTGCACAGTTTTTTCCCAGCCATTTCCTTTCTGGATGTCTGTCCTAGGGAAATACTCACAGGTACAGACTGAGAAGCTTATACACTCAAGATACTGTGCTCTAAACAAGTGAGAGATGGGTACCTGCCCTCCGAGAACTTCCAGCTTAGTGGGAGGAGAAATGGCCATGAATGAGACAGCCACCCAGATATTTGATTAGCTAGGGTTGTAATAACAGTTATAAAGGAGGAACTCTGGCTGATGTGAGGAGATATAATGTAGGTATCACATAGGAAACCTAATTCCCCCCTCAGATCATTGTGAGCCATTTCATCAGTACCCCTTTGAGATGGCAAACCTACCTCCCCCTGGTATTTGCTATGCTTTCCCCAGCCCATCTGCTCATTATATTTATCAGCTGCTGTTACATTTATTTCACTTATGTTTGAACACATTTTCCACCTTCCTCAATAGAACGTAAGCTCAAGAGGACAGAAGCTTTGCTCACCTTGTTTTGTTCTGATTGGTTCACCGTTCTACACCCCAGAACCTATCGCAGTGCCAAGAACATGAAATCCATTCAATCATGTCCACTGAATGAACTGATTAATTCCTTCATGACATATCACACGTCTTTCTCCTAAACCCAGATGCTGTCCGAGGAATGGGCAGGGTGAAGGGGTGGGACAGAAGAAAGAAGAAATGCTGGAAGACTTCAAAAGAAACTGAATTGACTTGGAAAGCACTTTCAACCAGAAAAGATGAGACTTAGTTTCAACTGCCGACTTTAGGCACAGCCCGATGTGTCCCCTCCTGTTCCTCCTCACAACTGTCCCACCAGCCGGATGGAAGTTCCTGGGAAAATTCAGGTGGGTTATGGAAAATAAAGAAGCTATATTGTTTCGCAGGCTAACATTTCGTGTTGTCCTATGTGGCTCTTTCACTCAGTTTGACACTATTATACAACTGCTGTTGTAGCAGTTCGAGGGGAGGAAATTGATGACCAGCACTGAACTGTTTGCAGGAAGTCAGGAGGTTAGAAAGTGGGGGGCATTCTCACCCCGGTTCTGAGGCTTTCCTCTGTGCTGAGGGGTGTGACAGCATTGGCCACAGGCAGATAGATACAAGGGGTGAGGTCAGCTTGGTTGAGGAAATACACATACTCTGACCCTGTCAAAGGGTTAGGAGAAAGCCCAGATGTGGGCAGAAGATTCTGCCGGCTGAGCGGGAGGGCCCCCATAGCCAGGCTGGCGGTGGTGGAAAGGGCGCACCTGACCATGACCCTTTTCCATGGCTCCCTCACCTGGCGTCAAGGCCAGACCTGGACCTTGAATGCTACCTCTGCTTTGCCCCTCGCCGTGCCCATAATCCCGGTTCCCTGAAGGCGCCACGCTCTCTCCCACATCAAGACCTTTTGCAAAAGCTGCCTTCTGCCTGGGACGCCCTTTCCACATGCTTCTCATCTCCTTTCCCTTCTAATCTCAGCATGCTTCTCAGGACTCAAGGTCAGGAGGACTCTCCTTGTCCTCAGACTGGCCGGGTCCCTCCCACGTGCACCTCAGACTGCTAGAGCCCTCTGTCACAGCTCATGTCACTTTGGGTTGGGAATGCTGCTCATTGTCTCCCCTAGGGCCATGTCATTTGTCTGCAGCACAGGGCCCAGCACAGAGGCACCAACAGCGTATGTGTTTTCCTCTCTGGTTAAGGTGGTTGTGATCTTTACAAAGCCTGGAGCATTCTCGGGGCTGTTTTGTAAAAGGTCCACATTGCCTTCTCCTTTCTTACTTCTTCTGCTCACCCTTTCCATTCTTTCTCACATGCAAGGCCACTCGCGCCTGCTCCCCGAGAGAGAGAGAGAAAGAGAGAGAGAGAGAGAGAGAGAGCAGGGATAGATGGGGTAATTGAGCAAGAAGCTCTGGATGTCTGGTAAGATCTGGCACCTGCTGCGCGAGGGTGCCTCCTCCACGTGGTTCTGAAAGGGGAGCTCCTGAGGGCCCCCCCACCCCAGGCCTCAGCCTCTGCACCCTGCCCCTCCCTAAGAGGTCCTGGTTACCTGGAATGAGCTGGGACAGGAGCAGCAGGGCGGCCAGAGTCAGCAAGAGGAGATTCATGGCTGGAAGCGGCCCGAGGTGAGGCTGCGAGTCCGATGCGACAGCAAAGCTAATGGGGCAGGGCTGCGGCCTCTCCCGCCTCTCTGGTCCCTTTGTTCAACCGGAAGGATGTCACCCTCACTTGCCCTCAGCCACTCAGGGGTTCGGCCCCCGAGCTGCGCGATCCCAGGGTGCGCAGCCACACCCAGTGGTCATTTGGTAAGTGGGGTGGGGGAGGGAAAGGCAATCACGTCCAAGGTCTTTCCAGCGGGCTCTAAACCGCCCCCGCAGGGGGGGAGGGGCGCTCTCAGCCTGGGAACTCCAGCTCCTGGGACGATGGGCTGGTGGGTGGTCATGTGGAACACTGCTCATCTGGGGAAGAGAGAGGAGCCCCCAGATCCTGGGATAGACCCTGCCCCACCATTCACCAGCTCTGTGACGTCCCCACCAAACTACTTGGCTCCTCGGAATTGCACCGTCTCATTCTTCAGTCTAAATAATAAATCAGGTTGAGAGACCCACACGGAACACACTGAAACTTGATGCAACGAATGTAGCTTTTTAAAAAATGCTTATTTAGTGTTTAATTTTTAATGTTTATTTATTTTTGAGAGACAGAGCATGAGCGGGGGGAGGGGCAGAGAGAGAGGGGGGATACAGAATCTGAAGCAGGCTCCAGGCTCCAAGCTGTCAGCACGGAGCCCGACACATGGCTCGAACCCACGAACCCGTGAGATCGTGACCCGAGCTGAAGTCAGATGCTTAACCGACTGAGCCCCCCAAGCGCCCCCAAATGTAGCTTCTTTATTTCTAAACCCACGTATGAGGAGGGCTGGCACCTAGCCAGGCTTCTTTTCCAGTGGCAAGTGCCAGTTCTTAGGCACTAAATGTCACCTCCAGATTTCCCCCCAGACCTCCACTCCTCCATCAGCTCCGGGGGCAGGAGGTCTGGTGTGGGAGGAGGGGCGGTGGAGGGCTGGGGAAGCGGGAAAGGGACAAGGCAATAGCGACCTATTCTAACACTGGTCCCTGAAATCACTTGGCGCTTGCCCCTCTCACAGCTGCCTTAAGAGAGGACAGAATCACCTAACTACCATTGCCTGTCTGTGCCAGCCCCTGCACTGGAGCGTTGGAAAGGTTTTAAGTAGAGAAGAGCCCTTGCTAAACTTGCCCAGCCCAAGGGGCTAGCTCCGTTCCCTCTTTGTAATCTGCTTCTACCCCTGCTTCTTCCGCCATCTGTAATCTTTCCACAGGGTCAGAATGTGAATGGATTGGTTGTGTCCGCTCATGGTAGACACGTGCACGAAACACCGTTCGCCTGGGGAAGAGGGAAACACCTCCAAATCCCAAGTCAGAACCTGCTCCACCATTTGTTAATTCCATTCCAATTTACTCATTTCTTGATTTGAAATAATATATTAGGTTGAGGGGTCAATACTGAATATGCTGCAATTCTGGGGTGCAATATATATACATATATGATATATATATCATATATATCATATATATATCATATATATATCATATATATCATATATATATCATATATATGATATATATGATATATATATCATATATATCATATATATATAGCTTCTCTATTTTCTATAACTCATCTGAACTTTCTAGGAACTTCCCTCCCACCGATGGGACAGTTGGAGTTTGGACATGACATGGGGGTGGACGTAGACTCAGCAACTAATGATATCCAGCTTTTCTGGTTTAAAGCAGTCTCTTAGAATAATTTATTCTGCTTTGGGTAAATGTTTAATCTTCCAGTGTTTCTCCTTTTATTTTTCCCCCTTTCCTTCCCATGATGACAGCTGGATTTAGAGGATAGTGAATATATCATTATTTGATTAAATAAGTCCTTTGTCCAATAAATAGTTAGTGGATTCTATGTGCCAGGCACCTGGATAGGTGCTGGAGATAAAACAGTGAATCAATCAAGCAACCAACCCACTAACCAATCAACCAACCACCAACCAACCAACTCACCTACCCACTAACCAATCAACCACCAACCAACCAACTCGCTAGCCCACTAACCAATCAACCAACTGCCAACCAACCAACTACCAACCCACTAACCAATCAACCAACTGCCAACCAACCAACTTCCCAACTCACTGACCAATCAACCAACCACCAACCGATCAACTCACCAACCTACTAACCAATCAACCAACCACCAACCAACCAACCAACCAACGAAACAAACAAATAAAATCTCTGTTCTTTTGGTTCTATGGGGGAGGCACTGAGCAGAGTAAGTAGGGAAAGAGATAGCAATTGTTGAGGGAGGTGGATTTGCAATTCAGAATGTAGAGGAATATCTCACTGAAAAGATAACATTTAAACAAAGACTTGAAGGAACTGAGGGGTTGAGCCATGCAGATAGGTAGGGAAGAGCATTCATTTATGAGCTGGACTCTTTCAAAACAGATGCTTCCCCTCATCCACTATTTGGTTACCTTAGGGTTTAGACGGTTCAGAGAGGAGAGGCAGGATACATGCTTGACTCTATCTTTATCAGTTTGCAAGATAAGGAATTCATTTTCTGTCAACCTCTGAGATCGAGAAGCTAGTTTTTCCTAAATATCGTTTTGAATGTATGAGTCCAATCTATTGCAATTATCTCTATTGAAATGCACATTTTCCTATTCCTGACCAGTGGGAACCTCTTCAGTTTGGCTCCTGAATTATTTGGATATATCCCCATTAGGCTTTGATAGCTTGCTTGGTATTTTTATGGCAGAATATTTTTTTTTTTTTTACAAATAGTTTATTGTCAGATTAGTTTCCACATAACACCCAGTGCTCATCCCGAGTGACCTCCTCCATGCCCATCCTCCCTCCCCCCTACACCCATCAGTTCTCAGTTTTTGTCAGCATTCAAGAGTCTTTCATGGTTTGTTTATGGCAGAATATTTATGGCCTTATACTTTCCTGCCCAAGAGCTGGAATAAGCCATATCTCCAAGAAGCTCCAATTTATTCTATTTTAGTGAGAAATGGTGCTTTAAGACAACAATCTGGGTGCTAGGGATACTACCTTTACTGGTTGGTCAGTGTTTCTAGGCTTTTCCAGTGACCAGAGCTAATCAGCGAGCTAGCTTGCTCTCTTTCTTTCTTTCTATCATCCACATATTTAAAAATAGAATACCTGGAGGTTTATACTGGTATTTTCTTTTCTTTTTTTTTAAGTTTATTTATTTATTTTGAGAGAGAGAGAGCATGTGCAAGTGCTGGAGCATCGGGGAGGGGCAGAGGAGAGAGAGAGAGAGAGAGAGAGAGAGAGAGAGAGAATCTCAAGCAGGCTCTGCACTGTCAGCACAGAGACAAATGCAGGGCTCGAACTCACGAACTGTGACATCATGACCTGAGCCAAAATCAAGAGTCAGATGCTTAACCAACTGAGCCACACAGGCACACCTGTACTGGTATTTTCAATTCGAATTCAGAACTCAAACTTAGTTCTTCTATATCACATCAGTATTTTTTTTCCTTTTACTGAGGATTTTGGTTCTCCAAGTTATAGAGGAGGATAAAATTAGAATATCCCAAAGTTACACATTTGATTTATCCCTTAGCACATGTACAATAGTTTCGGTATACTAACCCCAGTATACTAACATAACATACTATATGTGATAGTATACTATCACCATAACATGAGTACCCAAATTAGTTAACACTTGTGCACATGCACACACAATTCTTCTCCCACATCTACAGTATACTGTATTGGTATTATAAGAACACACAGCCATTATATGCTCTGCTCCTCTTTTTTTAAAAAAATGTTTCATTTCTTCTTTCAAAAAATTTTTTAATTTGTTTTTTTTTTTTAATGTTTATTTTTGAGAGACAGAGACAGAGAACAAGCAGGGGAGGGGCAGAGAGGGAGACACAGAATCTGAAGCAGCTCCAGGCTCTGAGCTGTCAGCACAGAGCCCGATGCGAGTCTTGAACTCACAAACCATGAGATCATGACCCGGGCTGAACTCAGATGCTCAGACTGAGCTACCCAGGTGCTTCACCTACTTGTTCCTTTTTAACCCTCAGTAGTTCTGGTTGTACAAGTAACTTTATGTTTAATCATGTTCATTACTAGTCCTGTGTCAATCAATTTGGTTTATTTATTTTTGAGAGGATGGGGCAGAGAGAGAGAGAGAGAGAGAGAGAGAGAGAATCTGAAACAGGCTCCAGGCTCTGAGGGGCCAGCACAGAGCCTGATGTGGGGCTCGAACTCACAAACCAAAGGAGAGATCATGACCTGAGCTGAAGTCGGATGCTCAACAGACTGAGCCACCCATTTCTTCCTTTCTTTTTAAAAACATCCTCTTTTTCACTCTGCATCTCTCTTAGGCCAGTATCTGCTATATTTATTTGGTCACGTGCTCCCTCTAGTTTAGTCTTTACTTATAAAGTGATTTTTAAAATTTACAATTCTTTCCAAGATCCCATCGTGTCACATCTGAAGTTTTGTTCATGCTTGCGGCTTTTCTATGCTATTCATTTGATCCCCGCAACAACTGTCTGAAGCAAGTTCTGTATCTTCTTTTTAGACAAGAGGAAATGGATGCTCCGAGAAAGGAAGTAACCTGCTTGAGTTCTTCTAGTTGGCTGTGGTATAGACAGATTTCAAAACCAGGTAGATGGATTCCAACAGTCCACTTTCCTAAGTATTATGACCGGACCCCACTGAACCTTAATTACTATGACCCACTGTACCCGTGAGACAGAACACTCAGGAAGAGCAGTGAATGGCATGAGTGTCCAGAAAGGTTGTGAAACTTTACCACCACCCTATAAATCTAGAGGTGACTCCATGTTCTAGGGTCTTCTGCGTGGCTATTAGCCCTCTCAAGCCAGGACATATGGCCCCTCGGGACTGATGTTGACTCCTCTCCTTTTCCCCCCTTTATATCAGGCAGCGCTGAAAAATGCTGGAATCTTCGTGGCTCCTGCCGTGAGAAGTGCATCAAGAATAAAAAGGTTTACATTTTCTGCATGAGTGGTAAACTGTGCTGCGTGGAGCTCAAGCTCCAGCCAAATATGTTACAGAAGTGAATTAGTGCTCAGAGCCCGAGGGCACAGAAATGAAGATAGCCCTGGCCTGAGTCTGACCTCCGCAGATTCCTGAGCTTTATTAAAACACCTTTGAATGTCTTCCGTGATTGTCTCTTGGCACACGTAATCAAAGTCAAGTAGAAGAGGGGTGGGTAAGGAGAGGAAACCAGATCTACTATGTGCTAGATGCATTTCTTACCTCATTTATTCCTTTAGACCAGCCTGAGGGGTAGTTACGGTCATCGGTTTT